ACATTAATTATTACATTAAAATCTTCTTTATCTTCAAGAAGTTCAAGATAATCATTTGAAAGCTTTTCAAAGAATTTAACTCCCATTTTGAAAATTATCTTTTGTGTAATTTTTGTCTATCGTTTTTTAAATAGAAAAAAAATTTGTTACACTGCAGAAATACACAACTTTCCGATTCTGGATCATTTTAAATGTCGGCCTACATACTCGAAATGAAATTTCAACATTAACTACATAATACCCTGATTATAAAGTTGTTGTTACTGGTCATAGTTTAGGTGGAGGTCAGTAAAATAAATAAAAGTGCATTATTTCATTTGTTTTTATACATTACTAAAATACTTAATTTAATAGCCTTAGCTGTATTTGCCGCTCTCGATATTAAACAATTCTTTAAGGAATGTAATTCGTATGGAGAACGTTTGGTTGGATTTCTGATTTTACATCGTTTGTGGATAATGAATTGGTAAGTTTTCGAAAAGAATTTACTTTTAAATGATAAATTTTAATCAAATGAATTATTTTATATTATTTAACCATTCGTTCAAAGAGTTGTATACCAAGGTGATATAGTACCTCATTTAATACTAAGAGTTAATTATGAACATCATAAAGGTGAAGTCTAGATTTATAATTCTACTACTAATCAAGCAGTTAAATGTTCAGGAGATGAGAATCAACTAAAGTTTTAAAAAACAATTAACATTATATTAATATTTTAAAAATATATATATAATTTCTTACTTGTACTAATTACAATTATAATTTTCTTTTTTTATTCTTAGTACTGCTCTGATTCAGCTGATGATCATGATGGTCCATACTGGGGTCTTCTTAGAAGTGATAAATGGTGTTCATAGGTTTGTTGCTACCTAAAATTCAAGTTTAAATAATAATTTTTTTTTACGGATATAACTCATATATAGATAATATTATTTTATTTTATTGGATTTTTTTTTAAAAAATTATTTATTGATAGATTTTTATATAAAACCTATTTTCATTATATCATTTTTAATATAATAATATGTTAGAACATGCTTATAAACGTTATAAAGAAAATCGTAATTTGAGCTAAAGAAAATTTTTATTAATAGTAAATTGATCTTTATCCATTAATTAAAATATTGACAGTGCCAAATTACATATAATTTTTAAGAGCATAAAAAAAAAAAAAAAAAAAAAAAAAAAAAATTTGAAATATATGAACGTGTAACAATATTCATGAACTTATTATGATGGTAACTGATTAAGATGTTTCTTAATAAAGAAATAGATAATGTATACATATTGAATTGTCTACTTTTTCTGAATTTGGAATATTTCATATTCAGACACTGAAAAACGAGCAACTGTATTTCTAATTGCTTTTTCATATGCATTATTGTAGCAAAAATTTACATTATCTTGATCGCAATTATTTCCTACCAATATATCACAACCAGAACTACTACCACCAAAACATGGACCGTAATCTGTATTATTATAAATTGCATATCGTGGATTTTTTATACGACTTAAAATGGAGGATTGAATAGTATTATTTTTCAATGAAAAAATAAAGCTATCATTGCAACTTGT